CCCTGCCGGCCGCCGTAGCCCACGCGCCGCCCGAGCCGCCAATCAGCGCGCGCCCGCCAGGCCTGCCCGCGCCGGGTCGCCGCCGGGCCGCTCCGAGAGCCGCTCACTGGCGGGCGGGCTCGGCGCGCACCCATTTGTAGTCCACGGGCGCGCGGGGCGCTCTGGGAGTCGTGGTCGCTCGTGGCGGGGCACCCTGGGAGTTGTAGTTTCCCCGCGCGCAATCGACCGGAGGACCTTGCTGGCAGCGGTGCGCCTGCCCTGGCCGTTGGCCTGCCCCATGGCCCACTCCGCAAAAACAGGCGCGGGGTGAGGGATGGAGGTTAGTTATGAAACCCACGGGGCGTCACCGACCGGCCGCCGATCGGAGCCCTGTCTGTGGGAACTCGCCTCGGCCCCCCACCCTCCCCGGGTCAAGCGCACCTTGCGGAGATCGACTGTGGTTCCCACCGCGGGCACCAGCTTCTCCTCGGCGTAGGTTGTCAGACAGGCGCCGGGCCAGAGAATGGAGCGGGAGAAAGTCCCAGGTCCCGCTGGGGTCCGGAGACCGTGCTGACAGCCGGAGTAGGCACGCCCCTCCAACCACCCTCCCTCCGGCCCGCGTCCGCAGACGTCCCAGGTGTCCCCACCCAGCCAGGTTAGCCAGGGAATGCCGAACCTCCGGGACCCGGGCCATCTGTGTCTTTGTAGAGTCTGCCATCGCCCCTGTGCTCAAATGAAACCAAGCCACTATGACAACCACAACACGCGGCCCGCGGGCAGGCTCGTCCTCGTCCCACCTTGGCTTAACCTGCATCTCTCACGGGTCTGGGCTGCGAGCATTCTATCTGGACCTCAGGGTTCGGGGCTTACTGGGGGCTCAGGGCTGATTTACCTAAAAAACACCTGTAGCAGGCTCAGCCTGAGGTCGGAGGCCTCTCCTCTGGGCCTAGCTCGCCCTGCACCACCACCTCTACAGCGGCGCCCATGGCCGCTGGTAACACTTTCTTGCTGCTGCTGGGGCCGATGCCAGCCTGGCATCCCTAACTGGCAGGTATTTTTTGTTGTTGTTTTTTTTTAAAACTTTTTAAAATATATATTTTTATTGATTTCAGAGAAAAAGGGAAAGGGAAAGATAGAAACCTCTGTAATGAGAACCACTAATGGGCTGCCTCCTGCACATCCCCCACTGGAGATCCAGTCTGCAACTTGGGCATGTGCCCTGACCAGGAGTCGAACCAGGGACCCTTCAGTCTGCAGGCCAATGCTCTCTATCCACTGAGCAAAACTGGCTAGGGCTCATCATTGATATTTCTCTCTCTCTCTCTCCCTCTCTCTTTCTCTTTGAAATCAATAAAAAATATATATATATATATTTTTTTTAAGTGAAGGATAACTATGTCCACATCCCAGCTGCAAGTGCTCGGCTGGCAAATGGGGACACAAGTGATGTGACCAGAAAGGAGGGGGGCAGGGGTGAAGGGAGCCATGGAGCGGAAGGGGGAAGCCAAGTTCCCACACTGAAGCTGAGGGCCAGGAGCCAGGGGGAAGGCACAGACTGAACGCACCAATAAGGAGGGACCTCAGTTCTGAGGGGGATCGGGGCCCACATAAGCCCCACCCTGAGCAGCTGGCCTGAGGGTTCTGACCTGCTGCAGGTCAGACTCCCTGCTGTCCACCGACGGAGTCTGGGTGGGCCTCTCTCCCGCCAGTGTGGGCTGACCGGGTCTCACCTCGGGCCTCAGCTCGTACCTGCCTGTCTGTCTCTGGCGTGTGTCTGTGTCCCCAGGCTGTCCCCACCCTGCACAGCCCCACCCTCACCTCCTCAGCTGGGACTCATCCTCTCCAGGCTGAGGGGGCTGTGGGCACTTGTGGAAGCCTCTCAGATCCTGGGCACCTCCTCCCCAGGACCATGGAGGCCTCCTCAGATGGAGAACCTGTCCCCTGGGTGGGAGGGTCAGGATATGGGGATCAGGCTGCAGGAAGGGATCAGACCTCGCAGCACCCTCGTCAATTCCACTTTTCTCCACCGGCATCAAGAGCGCTTGCCAGGGCAGCAGGAGCCCCCAGGTAGAGTGGGGGCACCTCTGGCCTCCCTCGGGACTCCAGGCCCTCCTGGACCACTCGGGCCATTCCAGAACCGGCCATTCCAGAACCGCCCTGAGCTGGGCCTGGCTTCACGCGGGAGGCTGGAGCTCCTGCAACTCCTGCAGAGAGGAGGTTTACCTTGGGAGAGGGGGGCGGAAATTGCTTTGCTTTGGGGGGGGGAGGGGTGCCCCTGGGGCGTGTAAAGCCGCTCTTGCAGAAGGGGACATGGACGCGGAGTGCACCTGAGCCAAGGGCAGCAGGGTGCCCCCAGGGCGGTGTGAGCAGGCTGCACGCCCTACCTGGGCCTATCCACCCCGCGCCCCCCACCCCAGCGACCCGGCCAGCACCCCCTGCAGTGTGGGTCCAGCCCCGGACACACCAGCCGACACTCTGAGTTCTATCAAGAGTGGCGTTTATTCTCCTCGTGGAGGTGCGGCGCTCCGGGGAGCTGGTGCTATTGTGCTTAGGAAGGAGGTCTGTCCGTCCGTCCGTCTGTCCGGCCGGCCCGGCCCCAAACGGGGGCGGAAGAGGGGCGCGGCCCGAGTAAAAATCCCGGCCTGTTCCGGGTGGGAGTATATGTACAAGGCGGCGGGGCGCAGGCGGGGGTGGAGGCGGGGCGGGCCGGCGGCCGCAGCCCCCACCCGAGGGCCCCCGCATCTCGGGCCCTGCTCGTAGAATCAGTACAAAATAGGTGCTACCTAAACGTTCCTTCTACCTGAATTCGCTAAGTCGGTTATTGTGCTGCTTAGTTATGGGGGCAGGAGGGGGCCCATGGCTTTCCACGGCGGGGTGGGGGGTGGGGGAGAAGCAGGAGGCCCTGGCCGGCCTGCTGCCCTCCGGCCTTCTCCCTCGGTAGGCAGACAGGCGTGGGGGAGGTGGGTGCCTGTGTGTGCGTGTGCATGCGGGTGTGCCCGGCACAGGCGGGCAGGCCCCGGCTTGGGAGCTGTGTGGGCATCGACCTGGGATGTAGGGGTTGGGGGTGTGGGCCCTGCCTGCAGAGGAGGCAGCTGAGCGGCAGCGGGGCTGGGGCCCTGGGGGATGGGGCTGACCAAAGGCCGGCCGCCAGCCTGCACTTTTCCACTTGGCCTGGGGCCCTGTCCCCACGGGCTCAGCCGGCGGCAGAGCCAGGGCATGGAATCCTGGGGCCCCTGGGGTAGAGGCGGCAACCTTGGGGCCTAGGTGTTTGCCCCGCATCAGGCCCAAGTCAGAGGCAGAGACCGACTACGCCCAGCACTGGCCCGGGGTGGAAAGGTGGGGTGCGGGTTTGGGTTTAGGGATCTGGCCTCTCTCTTCGCCTCTGCCACCGTCCCTGGCACACCCAAGGGCGCTGGGCCCCGCCACCAATAGGCAACCCCTCGGCCCCTCCCCCCCCCCCCCCCCGCAGGCCGCCCAGGCCCTGGCAGACTCAGCAGTGGGCCTGGCGCCTAAGAGGGAGGTACCCAATGCACGCTCAGTGGGTGATGAACAGCTGAAGGAGGGGTCCTGGGGCCACCCCCTGACACCGTCACACCGCCGGGTCCTGCCGTGGGGGATGGGTCGGGGAGGGGGGACAAAGGCTGCGCGGCCGGCCCCGCGCAGCATCCCTGATCTAGGGGCCTAGGGGGCAGCGGGGCGGGGATACCTGATTCTCAGTCACTAGAGGCGGCGGCAGCTTCGCATGCAGTGCGCATTATTGCTCTATATCGGCATTGGACTAGCTAAGAGGAGGAGGGAGCGGGCAGCCCCGGGAAAGGACGGGAGGAGGGCTGGGGCTGCATGCAGTGACGTCACAACGGCGGCGGCCAATGGGGCGGGCCCTTGGGGTAGAGTCGCCGCCGCCGAGGCTTTGGCATAGACGGGAGAGAAATTGGCAACCGAGTGGGGCGGGGCCTGCGGCTCGGGGGCGGGGCCTGCGGCTCCCAGGAGGCGGGGCCCGTGGGCGGGGAGCGCGGTCCTGGGCATCCCGAGCCCCGGGCATCGACGGGAGAGGATGCGCCTCGGCGCCCCTTCCCTGACCCGAGTGCAATCCGTTCATAAATAAAACGTTAAAATACAGGGAAAAAAAAAACCCCGACGCATCCGCACCCCCAGGGGGCTTTACCCGCAAAGCGAATACAGAGAGGTGTGTGGAGGGCCGCCCGGGCCTGCCTGCTGGGCCCCGGGGACGAGGGAGGGGGGCCCCGGGGCAGGACGGGGAGCGGGGGGCGGGGGGCTGAGAGGTCGGAGAAGTCCATGCGATTCGATATGCGTCATTATATTCGTATGGAGGACAGAGCCCGGGGGGCTGGGCTGGAAGAATCTGATTTGGCAGAGAATGCGAGGCGAGAGTGAGGGAGCGGCTCGGACTGAGGCCCCGGAAGGAACCCGAGGGGGAGGGCGCCGCTGTCCGCCTCCCTCCCGGCCCCCCGCGCGCCTCACACTCTCCGGGCTCAGCTGAGACTGGGGGGCGGGGAGCCTCCGCAAGCTGAGCGCCCGCCCCCGCTGGGCCTGCTGCCGGGGAGGGGCCGGCTCCCTGGACGCCTGGGCCGCGGGCCTGGCCCCGACGGCTCGGGAAGGGGTGGGGAAGACCTGAGTCTCTGCGGCGCGATCCGGGGCGCAGAGGAGGGAGGAGGGGCGCTCCCTGCCTCGCCCCAACCCCGCCCCCCGCCTCCAGAAACCTAAGATGAGGTTCGGTTCTGGGTCTCCTCGACCCTATTGCTGGGGAAAAGCCTGGGGCACCCTGGAGGGGAAGGGAGGGAGCTCGGGGTGGGTCTCCCCTCGGGACCCTATTGCTTGAAGGGGCGGGCGAGGCCCCTGGCGGGCGAGGCGGGGGCCCCTTCCCCCTATTGCTGCGAGGAGGGGCCCGCCCTCCGGCCCCTCCCTCCACCCGAGCGCCGCCGGCGCCGGCGGAGACATGTCTGGGGGCCCCGTATTGCTGAGAGCCAACCCGGCCGACCGGCGGGGGCGCGGCTGCCGCCCTAAGCCTGCACGGGGCTGAGCTGCGGCGGCGCGGCCGGGGCCGGGGTGGGGGCCGGGGCCGCGGGGCCGCCCTTGAAGCAGGCGGACTCGTAGTGCTTGTTGAGATAGGACTTGAGCGCGAAGCTCTTCTTGCAGCGCTTGCACTGGAAGTGCTTGAAGGCCGAGTGCGTCTGCATGTGCGCGCGCAGGTTGGAGCGATCGGCGAAGGCCTTGCCGCAGTGCGCGCAGCCGAAGGGCTTCTCGCCCGTGTGCGAGCGCATGTGGCCCTGCAGCAGCCAGGGCCGCGAGAAGGCCTTGCCGCACACGCCGCACTTGTGGCGCAGGTCGTGCGTGAGCAGGTGCATGGCCATGGCCGGCATGGACACGTACACCTTGCCGCACGTCGGGCAGCGCCGCGCCAGCTGGCTGTCCAGGCTGCGGTGCGTCTGCTTGTGGCGGCTCAGGTTCGAGGACGTGGCGTACGTCTTCCCGCACTCGCCGCAGGCGTGCCGGCCCCCCGAGCCGCCGGCGCCGGGCCCCGGACCCGCGCGCGCCTCCGCGCCGGCCCCCGCGCGCGCGCCGCCGCCCCGGCCCCCGGACCCGGACCCGGACCCCGCCGCGCGGGACCCAGCCGTGGCCCCGCCGCCTCTGGAGCCGTCGGAGGCCGGAGCCGAGGCCGTGGCGGGGGCGGCGGCCTTGCGGCGCGAGCGGCCGTCGGTGATGAAGAAGGCGTCGGCCGCGTAGCCCTCGCTGACGGCCGCGTCGCCGTTGATGTAGCCGCCCGCGGCCGTGGCCAGCTCCGGGCGCGGCGTGGGCGGGGGCGCCGAGCCCGCGGCCGCCGGGCCCAGCTCTCCCCGCACGGCCGCCGCGTACATGGGCTCCGGGGACGGCCCCTTGAGCAAGGCCGCCTCGGCGTCGCCATCGTAGACGGAGGTGGGCCCCGCGTAGTCGTTGAGGTATCCTGCGGGCCGGGGCGGACGAATGGGCGGACGGAGGGACAGGAACCAGCCGGGCGGCGGAGGAGACACCGAGGTCCGAGGAGAAGGACAAAGGGAAAGGGTCCGAGGGACGGAGGGCCGGGGGGGACGGAGGTGGAGAGAGGAGAGGAGAGGAGAGATGAGACCGAGCCCGGCCGGGCCCCACCCCGCCGCCCCGGGCCCCACCCTCGCCGGGGGAGGAGGGAGGCCCCCCCTTCCGTAGCGCCTCAAGGTCAGGGGGGAGGGGCGGTGCTTCCCTCGCCCTCCTTCCCGTCCCGCCCCTCCCCCTCGGGTTCTCCCCACTTCAGCAGTTTTCCCTGATTATGCAACACACTGCAGACCCGCAGCGCACAAAGCCGGGGCTGCCGGCCCAGGGACCCCGTCACCACCGCCTCTGGGGTTCCCATTGGCTTTCGGGGGGCGAGGGGAGGAGACAGAGCCTGCAGCCAGCCTGGATAATCACCCTCTCCTGTCCCCTAAGTCCCCCCCACAAGCCTGGGAGCCAGGTACCCCACAGCCTTCTGGCCCGCACTCCCACCACCTCTCATCGCCCCAGGCCACAGGCCTCAGCCATGGTGACCCCTCTGGCTCCAACCCTACCCCCCCTCCTTCCATCTGCTTCTCCCCACAGTCCCTTCCATGTCCTGCACCCTGGGGTCCTACCTTGCTCCCCATGGCTCTCTCCCCCCAGGCCTAACCCCTGTGGGGGCCTCCCTGAGCCAGGCCAGCAGCCGGGCAGGTGTCCAGCAGAGGACACCTTCTCGGGGACAAGCTGCAGGCAGGGTGTCATTCATACTGGAATCTGCAGTTCTCAGGCACAAGATGGTGCTCACAACCTCAGTCACAAGCGCACACCCCACACGATGCAGGCTCTGGCTCTATCACCCCTGGGGTCCCCTGGCCCTGGGACACATCACCCACTAATGCGGGTCACACATGCAGCCACTCTCCCCCCCAACCCACATGAGCTCCGCCAGGGCAGCCCGTCACATGGGTGCACGGTGGCCCCGAATCACAGGGTCCCTCGGAGGGGCACATAGGCAGGTACACCCTCACACAGGGTCACACACACACACACACACACACACACACACACGCACAGTCACATGGCCACACTCAGTCACATGGGCGCACACAGGCACACACACAGGGGCTCATGTTCCTGCAGGTCACACTGGTTCTGCAACCCCGTGTGGCTGGCACCTCCGACTCCTCGCCCACCCGCATGCTAACAGTTGTCCTTGAACTTGGGCTCCCTCACACAAAGAACCTCCCCCTGCTCCCAGCACTCTGGGACTCCCTTGCCCACCGCCCGCCTGCCCACCCGCATCCTTCCTCCTGACCCCGGCTGCAGGGAGGAGCTGTCGATGCTGCCTCTGCGGTGCCTTCTCCCTGGCAGGTGGGCAGCCCCCCCCCAACCCCCTAGACCCCCGTGCCTACTCCCTGCAGCTCACAGAACTCCCTTGCTCGCCCTAGCAAGCCATTCTGGCGGTGTCGCCAAAGCAGAGAGGCGGGCACTGAGCAGGCCTGGGTCTCTGGGTGTGGGTCTGCATGCACCCCTAGGTCCTGTCCTGTCAGCAGGGGTTCATGTGGCATGGGCCATGGTGCGGGTCATTGTGCACCTTCAGGCACTTGCTGGCCCTGACCCCCGCCCCCCACCCTCTTTCCTGCATGGACAGGGCCCCTGTTGGGCCTGAGGCCAGCTCAGGCCCGTCTCTGCGTTTGCTTCTCCCCAACCCCCATCTCCATCCACTCCACCTCTCCCTCTGGCCTTCCCTAGGGTCTCTCTCCGGGGGCCCCTGCCCCCCACACCCCCCCAGCGGAGGCTGATGGCCCGCGCCCACCTTTCTCCTGCAGCCGTGCGCCGAGGTCGCCGCGGGCGCGCCCGTAGGAGCTCTCGAGGTCCGCGGAGGAGAACGTGTCAAGTTTGACCTTCTTGACCAGGAAGGACCTGGGCATGGTTTCTGCGGGACTCCGGCGCTGCGGGCCTGCGGAGCCGGGGCGTGGGGGGGCTGCGGCCGCGGCGAGGCCCCGTCACCATCCAGCGGCGCTGCGGGCGGCCGGGTCCCCACGCTGGCCTCCTCCGGCCTCCTGCCTCCCGGCGCTTTCTCCTCCTCTTCGGCTCCTCCGGATCCTCTTCGGCGTCCTCCCCTCCCTCTTCTCTCCGCTCTCCTCTTCCTTCCGTCCTTCCTTCCTTCTTCCTTCTTCCCTTCCTTCCTCCCTTCCTTCCCTCCTCTGGTCCCGGCTTCCCAGCCCGCAGTGCCGCCCCTGGACAGGCGGGGGAGGAGGCTGGGGGGTGGGAGGGGGGGAGCGGCTCCGTCCCGGGCCCGGAGGCTGCGAGTGGGTGCAGGGCTGGCCCGGCTCCGCAGCCCCCGGCCCCTCCCCCCCGCCACCGCGGCGGAGCTCAGTCAGAGGCCCCCCATGCCCCCGGGGGCGGCGGCGCCGGGCCCGGAGAGCGCGGCGGCGGCAGCTTCAGCACCGCGGCCAGCGCCGGCCCGGCCAGCACCTCGGCCAGCGACCCGGCGCGCAGTGCGGCGCGGGGGGCGGCGGGGCGGCGCGGGCTCGCCGGGCGGGCGGGGGTCCCCGGCGGGGGTCTCCGGGAGGCTGGCTTTATTGTTCTGCAGCCCGAGCGGCGGCGGCGGCGGCGTTGGCGGCGGGCGGGGGGCGGGGGGCGGGGGTCCTCGGGGGAGGGTGCGCGGGGAGGGCGGGCCGAGGGGGAGGGGGAGGGAGTGACGAGCTCGGGGGCGGGGCTGGGCGCCCGGACGCTCTGAGCCCGGCCTCCTGCGCCCGCGGCGCCTCTGCTGCGGCCGGGCCCGGCCTCCGGCTTTTAAAGCCCGGCCGCTGCGGGCGGGGCGGGGCGCGGGCGGCGGAAATGGCCGCGCGGGGCGGCCCGCCCGGGCCTCCGGGGAGGGAAGGGTCCTGTGTGTGCGGGGCTCCCGCTCCGTGAGGTTCCCCGCGCGGCTCGGGGGACGGAGGCCGGGCGGCCGGCGGCATTGTCGGGGGCGGGGGCGGCGGGGGCGCTCGGCCTGGGCCCCACGAGCCCGGGGGTTGGGATCGCTCGGGAAGGGACGCCAGGCAGAGCTCGGCTTGGGCGGCCTCGCTTTGGGACGCGGAGGCCGGGGACCTGCGGGGGCGGGCGGGGGAGGCGGAGGCGCGGGAGCGGGTGCTGAGGCAGCGAAAGCGCAGCGTGGACGCCGCGCGCCGGTGCCGCAGTGTCTCCCGCGCCCGGTCACCCGGGCTGACCCCGCGCCTCCGCCCGCCTGTCCCCCCGCGCGGCGACGCAGCGAGCGGGGTGGGGAAGGGAAGAGGGGCCGCCACCCCCTTGCCCCAGAAATGTTGCTTCCTTGGTGGCTCTCCGCCCTTCGGCGCGGCTGCAGCGCCCCCACTCCTCCTGGCCCCCGCGGCCCCGCAGCCGGGCGGACACCCTCCCCGCGGCCTGCAGCCCCCAGGACGTTAGGCCCGTGGCCCATGGCGGGGTGCGCGGGTGCAGAACCGGAGGGGGGTTGCGAGCGGCACAATGGCCGCGTGGGGACATAGGTCCCCTCCTAGGGTTCGGCTCTGCCATTGTCTGCGCCCCCACAGGGAGGTCGGGTCCCCCTGCGCCCCACTTTCCCGGGGACCAAGGTCGCAGGGGTGGCTGCGGGGGCAGCGCGGGGCGCGGCGGAGCGGGAGGCGCGTGCACCGGGCGCGGCGCGGTGACCTTGCGCGGGGCCGGGAGCGCGCGGGGCCGGGGGCGCGCGGAGCAGAGTGCTGAGCTCAGCGCCTCGCCGCCGCCCGCGCGGCGCCCGCTTCCTCCCGCGTCTCCGCCACGCAGCCAGCCGCGCTGGGCGGGTGCGGGCCAGGCCGGTCACAGGCCCGCTTTGTGGCCCGCGACCCCGGCCGTGGCGGCGGCGGGACATCCATCTTGCGTGGCAGGCGCTCCCTGCGGGCGGGAGCGGGGCGCGGCCGCCCCCTTATCGCGGAGCAGCAGCCGGAGAGGTCCGAGGTGGGGGCGGGGACCGGCATCCTCCCAGGGGGGCCGGCCGAGGCTCAGCCGGAGACCCAGGGCCAATTAGCATTTTGATTGCGGGGCCGGGGGCCCATCTGGACTGAAGCCTAATTATGGGCGAGCCCTCCAGGTGCCGGTGGTGCGTGCCAGGCGCGGGCGACCCCTCTCCCCGCCCGCCCAGCTCCTGGCTCTCAGTCTGCCTCCACCCCTCCGCATCCCCGACCACAGCCGTCCTGCCGCCGGTTCTTTGTCCCTCCCTCATCACCTTCTCTCTTCCCTGGTTTGGGTCCCTGCCTCTCCCAGTCCACGTCCTCACCCCACGGTCCCCAACCTCTGGGAAGAGGAGGCGTCAGAGCTCCCACACATGGGTCCCGCGGCTAGTGCTCCCCAGAGGACCCGTGCGGGCCCTGGCTCTCCACGCCTGCGGGAGCCCGGCAGGGAGGGCAGCTGGGCCCAGGCGTTGGTCATCGAAACGGAGCCGCCTGGGTGTGGAGCGCACATGCCTCCGCTCAATTACTTGGGCCTCCTCGTCCTGACACCCCTTTCCCCCCAATCCCAAGGTCCCCGTGCCCCAGTCCTAGGATTCAGCAAGGAGAGGCTGGAAGGGACAGTTGGTGATTCTTACATTTTTTAAAGTATGTTTTAATTGATTTTTAGAGAGAGAGAAAGGGAGATGGAGAGAGAGAGAGAAACATCAAGGAGAATCATGGATCAGCTGCCTCCCGCCCGGCCTGTCCTGGGGATGGAGCTTGCAACCTGGGCCTGTGCCCTGACCCGCATCCCACAGGCAGTCTCTTGTTTCCTGGTCCAGGCTCAGCCACAGATAACGGGAGGCCCAGAGGAGAGGCGCTTTGTTGCAGGAGAGGAGAGGGGGTCCCCAGGCACCTCCCGGATGCCCCCGCAGACCCAGCCAGGTGGCAGGATACTCCAGTGCCCTGGACACACCAGTGCGTGTGGCCGCCCACCAAGCCTCCGGCCTCAGGGGCTGTTCCCCAATCCGGGTGCACCTGGGCCTGGCCGGTCTCCCTGTGGGACAAGAGGGAGGCCCTGGGGCTAAAAGGCTAGGTTCTGAGGGAGAGACTCCAGCCTGACCGGCCTGGCTCAGGGGTTGAACATTGACCTATGAACCAGGAGGTCACCGTTCAATTCCCGGTCAGGGCACAGGCCCAGGTTGCCAGCTTGATCCCCAGTGTGAAGGAGACAGCCGATCCATGCTTCTCTCTCATCATTGATTTCTCTCTCTCTCTCTCTCTCTCTCTCTCTCTCTCTCTCTCCCTCTCTCCCTTCCTCTCTGACATCAATTTTAAACACACATATTTCAGGGAGAGACTCTGAGCATGTGTCCCCAGCATCCTGCACCCACAGAGCCAGTAAGCCTGTGTGTGTGCTCACTGTGGACCCTATGGCCACCTTCCCGATCTCCGTCTGCCTGTGAAGCTCCAGCCCAGCCCAGCCTGGAGGCACCCCAAGCCCCCTCCCTGGCCTCCTGAATCCTCCCTTGGCTAGGAGCCTCCTTTGGCCTGGCTCCATGACACCTCAACACACTCCCCCCACTCAGCTTTCTCTTCCCCGCAGACACAGAGTGCGTGATGGGGTGTGTTGCCTTCCCAGAAGTCCTGGTGTCCTGGGTGCAAAGTGGACGGGCAGCCCCTCAGCTGCTGGTTCTGGCAGATCTTGGGGGGAACATAGTTACCTCCACACAGTGTGCATTTTTTAAAACCATACGTTATTAATTTTTTTACAGAGCGGAAGAGAGAGGGTAGAGAGTTAGAAACATTTATGAGAGAGAAACATCGGATCAGCTGCCTCCTGTACACCCCCTACTGGGGATGTGCCTGCAACCAAGGTACATGCCCTTGACAGGAATCAAACCTTTCAGTCCTTAAGCCAACACTATCCACTGAGCCAAACCGGTGAGGGCACAGTGTGCATTTTTGAAAATATATATTTTATTGATTTTTTACAGAGAGGGAGATGGGTAGAGAGAAACATTGATGACCACAGGCTTGGATGATGCTACCTCAGTCACGTGGTTCAGGTGGAGCCTGCCACATGTTTCTACTATAGAAATACTATTTTTTCATTTTCTGTGCTCTATTCCAGCGATTTTCAAATGTGCTGAAATTTTTTTTTTATTAAAGGATGCTGAGAGATAGAATATCAGGAAAGTCATTTTATTTATTTTTATATTTTTAATAGATTTTACAGAGAGGAAGGGAGAAGGGTAGTTAGAAACATGGATGGAAGAGAAAGACCAATCAGCTGCCTCCTGCAGGCCCCACCCTGTGGATGGAGCCCACCACCCAGGCGTATGCCCTGACTGGGAATCAAACCCTGACCTCCTGGTTCATATGTCGATGCTCAACCACTGAGCCACGCAGACCAGGCATTGCTGTTGTATTCTTAGAAAGTAAGTCACTAAATCCAGCCCACACTCAAGGTTCCCCTGATTTTTACATTGATTTTTAGAGAGGGGGAAGGGAGTGGTAGGAAGAGAAACATTGATGTGAGACTAAAACATCCGTAGGCTGCCTCCTGCCCATCCCCTCCGGGAATCAAACTGGCAACCTTTCAGGGCCGTGAATGACACTCCACCCACTGAGCCACACCAGCCAGGCGGGTCTCATGGAGATTTTGACTGTTTCACAGAGGGCTCCGCACTTGCACTCTGCATGGGGCCCTGCACATTGTGCGGCTGGTCCTGGCTCCAGGGACACGTTGCTGGGCACCTGGGTCCCCGCCCAGCCACGAGGGAGCATGCTCACCCAGAGAACCCGGTGGCCTTTTCTGTTCTCTGCATCCGGGAGGCAGAAACACCCACTGGGCCGGGGAACATGGCCTGGGGTTCCAGCACACACGCAGTCCCACCCAGCCTGTAGTGACCTCTGGCCTCCCGCTCTGTGGTGGGAACATGAGGGCTGTCCAGTGCAGGACAACCTCTGGGCACATCCCATTGCTGCTGCCCAGAGGG